AAGACGTATTAAGGCACTGGAAACAGATTTGTCAAAAACCGGATGAAGCTGTACGGGAACGTTCTGCGTCTTGCGTCCCACCCGTCGTCAAAACACAGCAGTTCTGCCGCACTACAGTAAACCCTCGCTAATCCGGTTACAGTTAATCCAGATCGAAATATAAAAAAAATCTATTCGCCGTTTAGTACGTGCTTTAAAAGACACGTGGCATTTAGGAAGACAGATGAGTCACTTGCCAACTTTAGCGGATAAAGGGTTTCGCGTGGTCAGCGCAGTAGATCCCCACGGCCGTTAATTTTGCTTTTATAGACCGGAGCCATTATTTCCTTGAAATAGTTCCTCAGTTATCTTCAGGAGGCTGAGTGGACCCCGTTCCAGACCCACTACTTCTCAGAAAATCTGGTAGCGCCATAATCGAACCCGGGACCTCTGGATCTGTAGCCAGGAACTCTGATTACTAGACCATAGGCGGTATTAACTTCGCCGACAAGCGACGGCCGCTCGGTCGGTATAGTTCGCTTACGGACTAAAACCACGGAGACTTTTGTTTTGGTTTGATGAATCACTTGTCTGTTAAGACAAAACTTGAGACAGTCTCTTCAAGCCTGCATTATTACGTTCAAAAACAAGTACAACTTCCGAGTCTTCTATCGATAAATAATGTAGCGTGTAGAGCTGTTACTGGATAACGACCTCGAAACAACGTACGTTACAAGGCAACGGCCGCGAGGTGAGCAAATATATCAGAGCCGTTACTGGGTAACGCCTTCGCAAAGAAAGCAAGTTCCCATGGAAACGCTTGGAGTACAGCAATGGAAGGGCTGTTTTTTCTGTTAATCTGTGCCGAGGAGTTATAAGGAGGGCAAATGGAGCAAGAAAAGAGAGCTGTCAGTAGTCAGTTGTACGGGAGTCTGTGAAGAGAAGACTTGGTCGGTGCAGTTGAAGAATCTCCATTGTTAAGATCCGTTACCGGGAAACGATCCAAAACCCCGTCGACTGTCACTGTATCACGTGACAATATTGTCTTCTTATTGTTCTTAAATAAAGGATCTGCTGTGGTATTTTGTTATTTATTTTCATCAGCACTACTTACATAATTATTTTCCATTTTTTGTATTCTGAATTTGTTTTGGTCTTTTCGGGCCACCTTCTGTTTCNACCGGGGGTTCTTTCCCCGGGGGTAAAGCGGGAGAGGCATGAAACTGACCACTCACTTCCAGCTTGTGCCGAGGTCAAGAAAATGTGGATCTATACATCCACTCCCCCACACGCCTTCATGGCTTAGTGCGTAATTCGCTGAGCACAGGGACCACTTTATCTTTTACCTTGATATATATTTTAGTATTATATTAATAATCTGCGGAAGTTCTTAAGAACGTAGGGACTGAAACAATCCTTTTATGTTGCTTATTTAACGACGCTGCCAGTATCGGGACTGCATAGCGTTGATAGGATGCGTGATGAATGTGGAGCAGCTGGTGGTATGAGAATTGGCAGGGGAATCTGAAATATTTAGATAGAACCTTCCACAGTACCACTTTCTCCGCCAAAAAAATCCCACATGACTTGACCTGGAGTCAAACCATAGCCGCTGCTATAGGAAGCTGGCGACTAACCGCCTGAGTTATGGCATGGTCCTGGTAATAACAGTTTATGAAAACATTTGTTATTATTACGACTATATAAAACGCAACAGAACTGTGCAAGCATAAATGCGAGCATAGTGCAGCAGTAATGAACTTGTGCTTAGAGCGCAGGAAAGTTACCGTGTAACTGAGTTATTACTATGTTCCAGGCCTCACTTACCGCCCAGCCAACACTCACGTCCCACAGTAGAAATACACTTGATAGAGATGGCGATTGGCCGTGGCTAACAGCGTTTTCCAACCTGGGTCGCAGCTAACTTCGTCTCATGTGACATAATCTAGAAACACGCTCTACAGCATCAAGTTGAGAACGTTTAAAAAATCTCGCAACGCATCGCCATAATTGACGAAACAAAACCGAAGTTTGACTAACAGAACTCCATTCCAACCAAACCAAATTAGAACAGTTACAGGAACGTGTTCGGGCTGATATGAGCCAAGTTAGGTCCGACATACGAGCAGAAAATGAAAGATTACTACAAAGTTTCAAGGCTCAAACCAGGGAAATCAGAAAGGAATTAAATAGTATGCTGGAATCCGAAGCCAGATGTGTCTCCCAGCTAGTTACGCAGGTGCAAACTGAAACAGCATCTGAATTGGTAGCAGTCAAGAGGTCAAGAGACAGTTACAGCCTAGGTAACGAGTTCGACTCTAGGTTAAACCAGTCCAATACCAGCAGCCAATTGGTAGTCAATGAACTTGCAGATCAGATGCAGGAGCACAGATCCAAAATGAGCAATCAGATGGCATGACAGAAGGAGAGCCTAGAAAAGTTATCACAGGCAACCACTCAGGAATTAGGATGGCAATTTGATTTGGTGAGTGCAAAGGTTGTGGCGTTAAAGAGTCTAAATTAAACGAAATGCCAGCGAGGCAAGATCTCGCTACAGACGCTGTGAGTGGTAGTTCAAGATGCTGCATCTCCTTCTGCCAGACCAGCCAATGACCCTGCAACGGAACCCGAAGGGACTGAAGCAAGCGGCGGATTGGTCGGTGAAACAGTCAGCTGTACTCACCAGCCAGCCCCCTGTAATACTTTGACTCGTGATAGCAGCATGAATGGGTGTGTAGTGCATGCCACCACAGAGAATGTATCCTTGTCGGGTTATCTAAATAACTTCCATTACCTCTTCTTGATGATGCAACAGAGACTAATCACGTATTTCATCTTAGGAGGTTGGATGAATTTATTAACTTCCACAATGTGTCGAAACCCCTTTGTTTGGCAGTCGCATGCCAATCCATAGTGGGACACATAGGCAAGCAATGGGTAGAGGCTGTAATGCACAAAGCAGTGGGCAGAAAATCCACTCACTGACAGTTCAGCAGCTCTGTAGGTTGGTTATGTTTTTAACTGTTGTCACTTTTTTTAGCCATGAGGCAAACAATGAATACCAAATTTTGTTGTATATGAACTAGATAAAACGCCAATAGAAGCTTATGACATGTTGCAAACTGTCTAGGGTGATGAAGCTGTAAGTCATAACAGTGTATCCGAATGATTTAAATGATTCAAAGATGGGCATGAGGATCTTCACTCTTATCCAAGAAGCAGGTGTCCTTCGACCTCTCGAAATGCAGACAGAATAGCAGATGTCTTTGAAATGGTGATACGAGATCGTCAATGGGCTCTCAGAATGATGATGAAACAATTAAACATCAATAAGACTATTTATCCGATCCTCCATGAATATTTACAGAGAAGGAAAATCTGACAAAACTTCGATGAGTTTCATTTGTTTCATTCTGGTCCGTCACACTAACAATTACAAATATAAATCACTCCGTCCAATGTGACCTGTAAGTTTTTTACTACATGAAAACTTAACACCCTTACATGTTTCGGTCTCTGTGGACCATCTTCAGAGGGCAAACATCACTACAAATAGGAAACCACCATCACATAAGTTGTTTCACGTAAAGTACGTACACTTATATGCTACAACACAAAGTACACTAGATAGAACATTTCACAAACACAGCAGTTTCCTGGGAATGTAAAGTTTTTTAAAAAATTGTATAAAATTTCTTGATGCCAATTAAAAGTTTTTTGGATTGTCAATAATTAAAATTCGTAAACCATGCAGGCTCATGTTCGTCCTCCCATCGTCCCTCTTATATGGGGCAGATATTGTGCCACCTGGCTATCTTGATGTGGAGGTTCTTTATATCGTCCAGGGTTTGCTCGTGGCTGCTGTGCTGTTTTCACTGTTCACATTGGACGGAGTGATTTATATTTGTATCTGACAAAAGTTCATGCCACAAAGACTAATGGAAGAGCAGAAACATTGGAGACTCAAATCACATCAAGACTTCATTCAGACTTGTCAAGATAATCCCAACTGACTGCATTTCTGGTGTCCACTCAGTCTTTAACTGAAACGAGTACCAGGAATCTACCTGGGGGTAAAGGGCGGCTGGCACATAAGGATGACAAACTCGGTGCCCTCTGTGAGCTTACTGTCTACAAAATGTAGGAGCTTCAACATTTTACAACCATATGGGCCTCCATGGCCTCATAGAGATAGCTTAAGGAGAAAACTACCATCGAAGGAAAAAGGTTTCACAATGCTGTGAAATGACCAAACTGAACGTTGTTCCTTTGAAACCCTCTTGACAACTTTTTCAAAAACTTTCTAAACAATTCAACACATGTATTAAATTAGGGGGTGATTACTTTCAATAAAATGAAACAATTTTTTATTTCCTTGTATTCCTTCTTTCTTCACACAAGTCTGGGAACTTCACTGCCAGACCCTGTATTTGATGCAGTATATACACAGATTACAATGAAACTTGGGATCAACACTATGCCCATGGAGCCCACCGGACGTCAATATTACTGATTTCCTACCAGTTCCATGCTGCAAACTTCCTTCAGAATATAACACACTAAGCTAGTCAAATCAAATGTTCATTACCATGCTCTTAAGATCCCACCCCGGGATATGACCCCAAGCCATATCTAAGTCTTATGGGAACAGTTTCTTGATTTAATTATGCATAATCATCATTTAGAAGAACCCTCAATTAATTCAAGAATCAGTCATTCCCCTAAAGATTCATAAAATAAGAATTTCACTGTTCTACGGAAATCAACAATTTCTATAATTATGAATTTATAACTTCACCAGCCTGTGCAAAAGAGATGACAGCATTTAACGGACACCAGGGTTGAAAGTTTTCATGAGTATGAAAGAGACAAATTCACTGCACAGCTCCTGCACGACTACTTAAGTATAAGCAAGACACTATAAAGTTTCAGTTTCTAGGACTGCACTATCTGTCATGATTAGGATGAAAGTTTCAGCTGGTACTTTCATACCATTATAAGGTTAAAATGAGCAACTTTCACACTGTTATTTACATTTTATTACATAAAAACAACCATATACAAATTCTCATAATTTTATCAAAATTAACTTGAGATCATTCCAATCCATGCAAGTGGCATCAATCACAAAAATTATTTCTTCTAATTTAATTTGATTGAATCAATCAATAAACCAATCACACCTTCAAGCATCACTTTGTACAACACTCATTAAATAAGCAGGTTACAAAACTCTGATATTCAATTCTGATCTCAAACTAACTTTGATTTCAAAATTATTCACTTATGAATTTGCATTAGGGCCCCTCCTGCGGCCAAAACCTTGCACAACATTCACAAACCGGCGATTGTACTGTATACGTCGCTTAGCACGGCCAGTCTTTTTCTTCTTCTTCTCTTGTTTGTCCACCTGAAAAACACAAATGTAAAATTATTATACTACTGTAGTACAGACCAAGGTATGTATATATGTTGTTGTGAATGTGGATAACCACAAACTGTACACATTTACCAAAAAGTTTGGTGAAAGTGCATGATGTAATTAATTACACAAAGACAGATTATGTGCCTTTCTGATTTACGTGGCACTGGAGAATGTCAATAAGGTTTACTGAAATGCTGCAAACTGTTATTTGTCGTATGCACTCAAGCACATGATTTCTTGATGAACACTGACAAAAGAAGGTCTACTAATGAAACTTTGAATGATGCATTACAGCTGATGATTTAAATGTATGATTTGCATTTGTATTAGCTTAGGATTTATTACCCTTCCTTACCTTGGGGGTCTGACCCTTGACTTTACCAGCACGAGCCAAGGAGCCGTGCACCTTCCCGCCCTTCACAGAAACACTGACATCGATGCTTAAGCATCGCAGGTTNAATGATGAATCAGAAATGACAAGGAAGGAAACAGTTATGGTCTCAGCCTTTCGCTGTGAAGCAAGTTCATCCTCTGCAATCATCTCAGAGCCTGCTGCAGATCACCAAACCACTCTGGTGGAACAAAACACACTGATCCAGCCTACCCAGGCACCAATACTTGGAGCTGAGAGCACAACTGACAAGCCATAGGTCAGCATATCACAAATAAAAACCCAGACTGCAGCAAAAACAGAATTGCTCCATACTCCTGACACCACCACAATAATTCATATTCATGCACAAATGGAGAACCTTGAAACTTCAAAACATAAACATGAAACCCAGTTCCTATACAAGGCATTCGTGAGATTTTTGAGAAGAATGTTCAAACCCAGCTCTGATTTTATGCAGTTTCCCTTCTGTGACTTCTCTCAATTTTCTTTCTTTTCTGGGGACCCAACAATTTCTTTCTCAGTCCTAACTCATTAACAACTGCGTGAACAGTTCTACTCTACACAACTATAACATGAAAATTATGCTGAAATATTCCAGTTATACAACCACTTTTCACTCAGGTATCAAACACGAACACTTCTCACTCCAAAGTCTAACGCATACATCGCATTTCAACTTAGGAAATAACAAGACCAAGTGAATCACCGCTTATTGTACAGGCCAAATGCAGTAGCTACAGTAACATGAGGCTCAGGATTTATGAGTGGGTTAGCATATAACTGCATTGCTTACTTCACAGCAGCTGTTCAATGATTTATTTGGATAAAATAAAAAAGAACTTTCAGTATGTACACACTCTTGCTTTTATGGTATTGTTAGAAAACGAAAAACCATTATGTCAACTTGATCAGGTCAGTGTGTGGCTTTCCTGCCTGAGCAGTTGAATCATTCACAGGATCTTCTCCCATGATCACACTGTATAATTATGAGCCTAAAGGCATCATCTGCCTACATGAACTGCAGGAAGCCATCAAAAACCTCAGACACGAATGCATACTTTTGGAAGGTACTTAAAATGCTTTCCTCCAAAATTCTGTGGTAGTTCATGCTTACAGTTTATTTAGTAATACTGTAAATAACTTTGATCACACAGTGCTAAATCACTGGATGAAAGCAAGTAATGAACTGGAAAGCATGTAGAAGGAAGAGGCCACACACCAATTTATGGTAGTACCCCAGCACTTTCTCTCAGGAACCAAGAAAACCACAAAAAAAGAAAGTCAGTCTCTTCCAAACGTCTTTCTGCTCGAGTCAAACTGGTTCAATTTGTCCAATTCAGTTGACTAGAACCATTAATTAATACAAATATACAGCAGCTTAGCTGGAAAGTTTTAGTAAACCTCCCCAACATTACTTTTATGAAAATCTGCTCATCTCTTCACAAGTTTACATGTGAATGGACAGGCATGGCAAAGCTGACAGGGCAATTCTGCAACTCTTCACTCTATATGCACCAAAAATGATCCCCTCCAAACTGCATCCCAACAAAGCCAACAGAACCTCAGAAATCATAAATGCCTCACGCCACATAAGTTTCTTGCACTTTGATGTTTCTAGACTCTGTGAAATTAAGTGTTCAAAACTGTACTTCCAGTACAGCACATCAACCACTGATCTAGTTAAAAATAAAAGCAAAGTAATTCACTTACTATGATCTGCCCTACAGACTCATTGCCTTCACAGTCAATAACATTACTCCCCTGTCCTCGTACAAGCAGCTGCATTATGCTTTAATCTGAAAAAGAAAGAACGCTTAATTAGCACATTCACTGAAGTCAATTCATTGGTCAACCTTTAATACTGCTAGGCCTGAACTGTGATTTAGCACAAACTTCCATTGTGTTTGAATAAAACCACATTACACTGCATCACCTAGTACAGAGATCACTAGGCATTACCCACTGCCTAGTACTTTCTTCTTCCTTCATTTTCCTCTACCTAGCCTTACATTTATAACGCACTTCTGTTTAGTCCATGCAATAACAAGGCAACCCCCATGATATGACAGTTGTCCCATATCACAGTAAATCTCTGGTGACATATCTATCACCTTTGGGTTGGTGGCCTGTGTCAAACTAGATCATTGCTGTGAAAGGAACAGTGTAGCTGTAAAAATCCAGGGATCATATCCACACTTGTTTCCCTAAGCTAGTGGAGACTAAATCTATTCATCTATCTCACTTTGGGTTTCTCTGTAAAGCCCACATGTTCACCCCTGAGCTTCAGATTTGTAAGCAATTGTATATCCTTCTGTTTTCCTTTTGCCAACTTAAAGCTTTCACCCTTACTACAAGGGAGCGCCTGTTTTTGTTCAGATCTCTGAAGTGTGAGGAAGCAGATCCTTAAATAACCCAGTATGCACCATGACCAGTAAAGAAGAAAGTGCCCAAATTCTAAAGGGATTGCTACTTGTGCAGTCAACAATTATGTGCACCTCACTGTCAGTAGCCAATTACAAGCTGTAAATTTGAAACATTTCTTTTCAAAGCAACAGAGAGGGATGCTATGACTTAATGTCTTTGACACTAAGCAGTCTCAATTTGGGCTTCAAGCAAGCTGGACATATTTTGTCACATCAGTGTGCAAACATGGTCAGTTGTAATTGTTCATCCATTTATCTTAAAGTCATAACCTGACCTGCCGGTTACACAGGTATATGTAGATGAATTATATGTTAATATATACTGGTTTTTCTAGGTGTAAATGGCTTTACTGCATTACACAATAAATGAAAACGAAGCTTCCTTATGTCACCTACTCGTATACTACTTGAATGCACACTGTGTATCCTTGAGAAGAACTCAAGCTCAAGTGTAGTGGCTGGTTACACAGAATTCTTAGCATAACTTGAAACAATTATTTTCTTTCAAATGCTTCAATCTATATTGTGAGACTAACAGAGATACAAATAATGATTACACAATGTAGTGATCAATCTCCATGTATAATTTCAAACAGCTGGAGTTGGGTCAGTGACTGGCTTCAGACTGGACAATCAAGATTCGATTCCTGGCAGGAGCAACAGATTTACATCTACACCACAGCCTCTATTCATAAAGCACAATATATTTGTTTGCCTGGAATAGCAAGCGTAACATGCATCATGGCATTCATAAAGTTTAGTGCCCAACAGTGTAAGTGTATTACTCCAAAATAGGTCATACTATTAAGTACCACCCTAGCAATTATGAAATCTGAAATTATTTGTTGTTTATCCTCCACATAATTGTCAGAACTGACATCTTTAAGTTAAATACATGCTTTATGGACTGATTAGCAGGGCCCGGATTTTGATGACCTAAAAATATCTGAAAAATGATCTATAAAATGACCAAATATATTTGAAAAAATGACCTAAAAACTTTAAACCTAGCCCTCTGCATTTCTTAAGCATCAATTTTATGAGTTTATGACATAGCGGTGGCTTAGAAAGCGGCACGGGACAGTAACGGCATCTCTGGCGGCTTTGAAAGAAAAATAATGTGCCCTCTCACAAACAAATCTATTATATTTAGCGACAGAGGCTAGAGATACAAAACAAAATTTACTTGAAGAACATAGATTTCTACCTCACGAATCAAATATCTTCAGTTTGATCAATGAATGTTAATTATTAAAAAACGTGAAATATAACCAAAATTGATGTAAAACGTGAAAAAATGACGAAAAATGACGTAAAAACTTGTAAAAATTACCTAAAACTTAAAACATACAAAATATGACCCAAAATTCACATTTTTATAACCAGTTTCATAATCTGGGCTTTAGTACTTAAAAGCAACGTTTACTATATAAAGAAAAAAAAATGACATGTCATCAAAATCCGGGCCCTGCTGATTAGACACCTGGCTTCAAACAACAAACTGCATGCACAAATGTGACATCCTAATACACAATGCAAGACAAAGCAAGTAATATGTATATACTTTTTTCCTCTCTAGCTTCTGAAATGAAAACTTTAATAAAAGCGGCTTTCTTTTCCTACACGGAACATTCCACCAAACCAACCCCACAACGAACAAGACGCATACTGCTTTCCCGTAGAAACTCAATTGCTGACCTCGTGACGTCACAACACTACTGCACACTCTATATTAAGCTATTGATATAAGATGGCCGACGTCAGTGCCGAGAGCACGGTCGGTAAGAAAACATTCTATCATATCAACAATTTGTCCCCCCACCCAGGGTACACGTAGTACTGAACGTAATGAAGAATACCAACGAATAATTTTTCATTTCTGATCTATTGTACTGCGGAAGGTTTTACCCCTTTTTTTTTACTCGGTTTAATCTCACTTCACTCATCCATCAAAACTGAGCAACACTAGGTGACTCACTTTATATATTACAGAAGAGTGTTTGGAGGAATTTGACGGAATGTTTTTGTCCTCTTGTCAGGATGAATTTCTGTAGGTTGCAATAACCTAACTGGTCCTTCATATTTTTCATTATACTGTCGTTGTCGTTGAAAAATATCATCTATTCTATGAGCCATCAATCGTGCAGCATGTAGCCTGTCGCTATACCGACTGAGCTATCAAACCAGTTTAAAATGTACGAATATTGCATTAACTTTGATCAAAATTCAAAATTAATTCTGTTTTTGATCATGTAGTTTAATGACACTCAGCATACGAGAGCTGTGTGATGTTGAGTATAAATTATTTTATATGTTGAACAATTTTCGTGTTTCTACTAAATTATTTGGAGCTGCATGTGAAATTCACGAGATCGATCACCATCGATCCATCGATCATCGTTCTAATTGATATTCAAAATGGCAGTTCTTTGAATGGCTAATGGTGATGGCACTCAAGTTTTCATCAATGATGGTAGTGAAACAAGTGAGGTAACGAGTGCTTGTTGTCATAAATTTAAAATAGAACTCAGATCAGCACAAAAAATTGTTGAAGTGCTACAAGAAGAGATAAACACGCCCAATCGTACCGTAAGTACAGACTCTCCCTACTACCACAGTTCGG